ACGCTTGAGATACGTTGTGTGAGATCATAGAACAGCCACCCGCCATTTTGAATTCAGAGCCGGTGGGCCCTGGTGATGAGAGTGGAACTGAAAACTAGTGCAGGAACAAGATGGCGTAGACGCCATTTCTAAGAGAAACGAACATGTCATCGCCGTTCTGATGTTACGAAATTGTTTCACGTGTTTTATAACGTCTTTCAAAACAGAATGTACGTTTTTTTGACAAAATAATTATGGATGCTCAAATTGGAGCTTCAGCGGCATCAAACAACCCAGGTTTCTTTCGTTTATGTCGATTCCGCTTCAATGTCTATTAAATTCTTTGTTTAATTTGTTGTGTTTCAATTTTTTCAACATATTCTTTGCATCACATCTATCTTTTAGCAAATCGCGTCGGTGGAGATTTTGCCCCTCCTAAGAGACCGAACGTTGGATCGTTAGGAAGAGCAATCGCCTTGAGAACAAACTTTTTTCAAGTTCGTCTTCCCAAGGGAGACATCCATCACTACGATTTGTCCATTTCACCTGATAAGTGTCCGCGAAGAGTCAATCGAGATGTTGTGGAAGTTATGGTAAGCACGTATCATAGAGTCTTTGGAGGACAAAGGCCTGTTTTTGATGGCAGAAAGAATCTTTACAGCAGTAAAGCACTTCCGATCGGCAGAAAACCAGTAAGTGGTTACAGTTCGCGTGTCTTTGTGATCTCACAGTATTCATGACGCTTAAATCTTTTTATGATAGAACATGATCAGCAAGAATTAACGTACACTATATACAAGATACTCTTCATATTGGTCGCTTTGTGTGAAACGTATGAAGTCGCTGATCAATAGATCGTTTAGTAATTTGAAATCAAAGGTTGTTCAATCAGTCACACCAGTCGTTGTGAAATTCATGCACATTTAGCAACTGAGTAAATGATTTTGTTATCAATTTGGTATTGAGTTTGTTAATAATTACTGGTGTTGAGTCCGTTTATTTCTCGATTTATTTTCCAGTATAGGATTCGGAGGATGTTTAGTTCACACGTCGCCTTGTTGAATGAAGTTTTTAGAATTGTCTCTGTTTACCTTATTCCTCTATCCCTCTTATTTTTAGGTTGACTTTGTGGTAACACTTCCCACTGAGAACAGCAAGGACAAAACTTTCAAAGTAAGGAATTTTATAGAACTGTCATGGCCACCTTAAGCACCCTGGGAAAGCAGAAAAACTGTTTGCAAAGCAATTTTTTATTACAAAATACGCAGCCACTTTAAAACTACAGTACCACCTCGAAACTGTGGTCCCCTATTCATTGAATAAGAATGTTTTTTTTTTTTTTAACAAGCAGTTAAATGGAAATGGAGTTCCACCATATTAAGCCAGTGGAATAAGAAAAAATGTAAGGGTTTTCTCCAGGGACAAAGCAAACTGCCTGTAATAATGTGGTGTCCATATTACATGGGCGTCCATCTAGGGAAAGTATGTCTTTTCTTGAGTGGGGAGAGCTGGGGGATCTTGGTCTTTTTTTTTACAAAATAAGAGATGGCCCTCCCTCGCGTTAAATTTAAAAAATTCCTGATCCCACCCCCCCCCCCCACCCCCTTTGGGTGACCAACAAAAGTACATGTATGACCCTCCCCTCACTACTACAAGTCATGGTATGTTCCATGCCATAGAAATCTCAGAGCATTTCACTTTTGAACCAAAATGTTTGAATATATGAGTTTTAGTAAAATCCAACTAGTGGTCTAGTAACAATGCTGCATTCTGATTGGTTGAGCTACTACTAGGCTATATGTTATAGCCTACTAGTAGCGAAAAGTACACGCTTTTGTCGGCAAAAAAGGATTAAAGTCTAGCTTTAAGTAGCTAAAATTCTTTTATTCTCGATATGTTTGACCAACTACTTGGATTTTACTAAAACAATTATTCCTCTCGCCCTCATAGCCTCTGAGCCGATAGCCCATGAGGCCAAATAATAAATTGTTAAATATCTCAGTCAATATTGAATGTGTACGTGCTGAGACAAGAAAATGCGAACAATCAGTATGGGATATTTACATTTTATAGATGAAGTTTGAATATGGAAGTACCTATAATAATAAATCACCAAATTAAATCAAAGAAGGTGAAAAGAAAAATGGAAAGCAACATCGCAAAATAAAATCCTCATTAAAAAGCTTCTGGAAAAGATGGGTGACTCTCCCCTTGAATAGCTCACAAAGAGGTATGGCCCTCCGCTTTTGGTGCTCACTTTCACTGATGACCCCCCCCCCACCCCCTCTGAGGCCCTAGC